CAGTTCTTCAAAAGTTTAAACACAGAATTACTGTATGAACTGGCAATGCTACCCCTATGTATATATGAAAGATAAATGAAACCATGTCCACACACCCACTTCTCCATGAAGGTTCATAGCAGCATTATTCATAATAGCCAAAAAGCAGAAAAAAACCCAAATGTCCATCAATGGATGGATGAATTTTTTTTTAAAAAGTGGTATATCCATACAATGGGATAGTATTCAGTCATAAAAAGGAAAGAAGCACTGATACATGCTACAACATGGATGAACCTTGAAAACATGATGCTAAGTAAAAGAAACTGGTCATAAAAGACTACATACGATGATTCCATTGGTAGGAAATGTTCAGAATAGGCAAATCTATAGAGACAGAGAATAGATTAGTGGTGGCTTAGGTTCGGGGAAGGAATTGTAAGTAGATGCAGAGTGACTGCTAATGGATACAAAGTTTCTTTTTGAGCAGATGATAATGTTCTACAATGGATTGTGGTGATATTTGCAAAACCCAGTGAGTATACTAAAAACTAAAACCATTGAATTGTGCACTTTATGTGGGTGAATTAGATGGTATACGAATTATATCTCCATAAAGCTGTTATTTTTAAGGCATGAAGGCGCCAAGGAATAGTACGATTCAATGAATTTCCATAAAATGGGGCAGTAAAAGAAAAATGCTGACAACGTGGGATAATAGGTGAAGCCAAAGGATGGAAGCTTTCCATGGGAAATAACCATTATCTTAGCACTACATGAGTGAAGAAAATGAGATTAGCCCTTGATTTTACCAGTTACTACTTAAGCAAACCCTGGTTAACCTTCCTTAATTGAGTGAAAGCAATTTGCACTGCCTAACTCCATCATGGATTCTCTGGGGATCTGTTCAAGGTTCTAGGAATCCAAACCTATTAGGTATCGCCATTCTTTAGGCACTTTCTTCGACAGCCGAGTTTGCAAAAGCCTGTTTAACGGAGATGATTAATCTGCAAGAGCAGATCAAGCCAACCCAGATGGATGTCTTATGTGGCACACCCACCACTTCAGATCAGCTACATTTTCTCTGACGCCTTCCATGTTTGGCTCAAATGGAAGTAAAAGAAAATGGATATTTATGATGCACCTTACTTTCCCATAAATTGTCACATTTAATCCTCACGTCTCTTACCCATTTTATAGATAAGGAAACTGGCCCAGAGAGGATGGAGGGCTCCCAAAGTCACATAACTATTGGTAAAATTAGGATTCCAGGTTTGGCCTAAACTCATGTCCTTCCCACTAGAGTTATGCAGTGGGTAATCCTGCAGAGTGAGACTTCTGAAAACACTTTCTCCCCATGGGTCCCTTCCCCTGACAGTGACTCTCAATGCCTTCTGAAGCTGACATTTGTGTGATTGCTAATTTTAAAACAATGATAACATTTACACATTAAACACTTCTCCAACTTGTTCCCTTGACAACCATACACCTAAGATTAGATGCGGGGGGGGGGGGGGTAGTTCTCTGTTAGTGCTGCTACTTAAAAATCTCCCTTTGTGAGAACATCATTTTTAATGGACTTTTAAAGAGAGCAAACTTTGGCAATAGCGATACAGAGTGGTAGCTCTATGCCACCATAGAAAATAGTATAATAATAAAAAATGTCAGCTGATGAAAGATCACCTTTAACTCCATACAAACTCTCTAGTTACTTTCACATCATTGTTCTTTCCACCAGTCGGGACCAACAAAGGCTAAACTAAAACATAATATAGCTAAGGGTCTAAGACCCAGCCATACTGGTTTTGTCAACAATTATATATATATATATACATACACACACACACACACACACACATATATATAACTTTTTAAAAATTTCAATTCAATTTAATTAACACATAGTATAGTATTAGTTTCAGGGGTAGAATTTAGTGATTCATCAGTTGCATATCACACCCAGTGCTCATTCATTACACCACATGCCCTCCCTAATGCCTATTACCCAGTTATCCCATCCCCATCCCCCTCCCCTCCAGCAACCCTCATTTTTTTTCCCCATAGTTAAGAGAACAATTATCTTTTTTAAACTACACAGGTTATACACAAAAATATTTCCATTGTAAAAAAAATTAAACAGTGCAGGATCGTACAAAGCAGAAAGTATAAGACAACATTCACCAGCCTCCCTTAATGTTTCCAGACCTTTTGCTGTGCATTTACATTCATATATATATTGTATAGTCTTTTTCTTTTTTAAAAAAGATTGATTTATTTATTTGAGAGAGAGCGAGAGCACGAGCAGGAGGGGCAGAGGGAGAGGGAGAGAGAATCTCAAGCAGACTGTGCTGAGCATGGAGCCCAACACAGGGCTTGATCTCACGACTCTGAGATCATGACCTGACCCAAAACCAAGAGTTGGGAGCTCAACCGAATGCGCCACCCAGGCGCCCCATTTATTGTATAGTTTTTCTACCAGTAGATGGGATTATACAGTACATACTGTCCTATAACTTTAACAGCTTTATTGAGATAGAATTGATATACTATACAATTCACTTACATATAATGAAAAGTTCAGTGGCTTTTAGTACATTCACAGATAATGTGTGCAACCATATCCACAGTCAATTTTAGGATATTTTCATCATCTCAAAAAGAAATCCTGGACCCTTTAGCACCCTCGTATCCTCTCATTCTCTCCACCTGTAAGCAACCACTAGTCTATTTTCTGTCTCTATAGACTTCCCTCTTCTGGCCATTCTGTCTGAATGAAATCATGTAAAATACGGCCTTCTGTGACTAGCTTCTTTCACTAGCATAAAGTTTTTAAGGTTCATCCACGTTGTAGCATGCATCAGTACTTCTTTCCTGTATAGAGCCGAATAATATTCCATTCTTACACACAGATCTACCTCACCCTCTTTGGTGACTGCACAGTAGTACATAGTTGTTATACCACATAATTTATGTAAGCATTTCCCTGTTGATAGATATAGAAGCTACTCCTGATGTCTCCCCATTAAAGCAATTAGCTTATCACCCTCATACGATATGTAGGGAGAAAGGGAGAGGCCATCTTTCTCAGCAGAAGAAGGACCCTGTCTCTAGAACAGTGATTCTAAAGGTATGTTTCCTGGTCTTGCAGCATCACCTGGGAACTTGTTAAAAATACTTGTATCTGAGGGGCGCCTGGGTGGCTCAGTCGGTGAAGCGTCTGCCTTCAGCTCAGGTCATGATCCCAGGGTCCTGGGATCGAGCCCTGTGTCGAGCCCCGCGTCAGCCTCCCTGCTCAGCGGGGAGCCTGCTTCTCCCTCTCCCTCTGCTACTCCCCCTGCTAGCTCTCTGTCAAATAAATAAATAAAATCTTAAAAAAAAAAAATACATGTATCTGAGTTTGTGATTCAAAAACTCTGGAGCAGGGCCCAGTGCTCGCTGTTTTACCAAGCCTTCCTCCTTGTGATTCTGAAATGCACTAAAATTTGAGGCTGACTGCCCCAAATCTGTATCACTACACTAAAGTGGCTTCCATTATTTAGTTTAAAGTTCATTTAAAAATTAGCAGGAACACACACATTGGCTTTAACACAAGACTATGGGCATGGATGGGGTAGATGTATTGGGGGGGGGGTGAGTCTCTTTTTCTTTAGAGAGATAACTTTAATATAACAAAAAAACCCTCCTCCTCTCAGACTTTTCCTATCTGCTTGACCCCTCATTCTCTTTTCCCATAGCCTTGAACAGCCAACAATTAAACCATTTACATAGCACTGAGATGCCAGGAATTGGCAAGCTTCTCCTTCCTGACCCTCACATCTCTGCTGATGAGACCCACAGGACAACAAACCATAAAACCCAGCTCCCATTACAAACCAAAATAATGGAAGATATGATCTCATGGAATTACAGATGGGAACTAGAATGGAATTTAGAGATCTCCTAGTCAAGACACATTGTGGAGATAAGACAAATGAAGCCCAGAAAAATTACATGACACAACAAAGCCGCAGAGCGAGCAGAAGGCCTCCTCTCTTACTACACTATATACTGGACTGTACACGAAACACTATATACTATATACTGCTTTACCCTAATGGTCGCTGACCAGGAATATGCATGAAATTCACCTGGGGAGATTTCTTGGAAAAACACATTCAGAAAAATTTCTTTTCTTTATCTTACTAGAGGGAACACGGATCTAATTTGCCTATATCTAGAAGACATTGAGGGACATCCAATAGTATATTGTTTCCTAATTCAGCCATGCCCACAGAGGTCAGGGAGTGTCCATAACTGCCGGAAGTACTATGCCTGCTTATCCTTAGGCTAATTAGCTCCACATTGCAGTTTTTGATGGGTTGGGTTTTTTTGTTTTTGTTTTTTTTTTTTTTTGGCTTTCTACTGTATTTCCGTCCTCTCCTTTGAGGTCACTTACTACCTCTTACATCTACCAGTGTGTTTGCATCCAGCCATCCTTATCTACACTCCCACACCTACTACTGTCAATGTGAGCTGAGACGCCAAATAAATATGATCTTCAGAACTATGATAAAGGTGACAGTGAAGCAGGTCATGAGTGAGGAACTAGAAAATTCAGCATAGGGATTTGTGATATTTATATTGGCTGAGACAAAATGGAAAGTCAATGCTGCCAGACATAACATTCTGTAAGCAAAGTGGCCGACAGCGAGACCTCCTTCATACAAACAAAACAAATAATGAACTCTGGGTTTGGGGTTTTTTTGTTTGTTTGTTTTTTAACATCAGGAAGGTATGTAGTTTTCCCCTCAAGGTTTCTTCCTGATGTTTGCTTGCTCTTTTTTTAATTAATAAACTTAATTATTTTAGAGCAGTTTTAGGTTCACAGCAAAATGGAACAGCAAGTACAGAGGGTTCCCATAGGCGCCCTGCCCACACACATGCATGCTCCTCGCCCCCCGCTATCAACATCCCACACCACAAATACTCTTGAGTGGTTTTTAAATCCATTTAAATATTACAAAAGGGACAGTTTAGATTACCTGTAACACCACAGAACTGTGGGTATTGCTGGTAAAGATGCGTGTGGTTCCTGCCTTGGAAGACTGCAGATGGGATGAGAGACCCATTTCGCTGCTTCCAAGGGACAATTTCATGTGTTGGTCTTCCTCTTCCACTAGAGATCTGAAAATGTGTATAAATCAGAAAGAAAGGCAAGTTAAAAGTTGACATATAATTCACAATAATGGCATTGTTTAGAGTAATAATCAGTCACTAGTGCCAATCATTTGACTATGGAATATACTGGATTTTGTTTTGTTGTGCTTTAGGATGATACCATTCTACACCTTAGAAGAAATTATATTATGTATTTGTAAAAAACTTTTCAAGGTCAGAAAAAAATTAGAAGTGAGAAATCAACCTAAAAGCTGGTTCAAAACTACATTCACAAAGGGTCTTTGTATTTTCAGTGCAAGAGTAATTGCTTTTGGTATTGTACTGTTTAGGTAGCAAGAACATCAAATTGTGTTATACATAGTTAAAATTTCTTTGGAATACCTAATTTGAGAAAGATAAAAATAATAGCTATCAGTTATTGAATAGTCACTATGTATCAGGTACTTGTCCAGAAATTTACAAACATGACCTCATATAATCCTTAAAACAATCCAATGCAATAGGTACTATTATTATTTCCTTTGTATGAAGGGCAGGGAAAATGAGCTACAAAAAAGTTAAAAGTAAGTCACCTAAGGTCGCAAATTTATTAAAGTAGTTGGGTCAGGATTTGAATGTAAGTCTAGTGTGATTCCAAACTCCAAAGACCCCATTAATAAAAGTCAAAGATTAACTGTGACAGTAATACACTGCTTCCTCTTCTGTAATTAGTTATAGTTCTAATCAACCCCCAACGGAACAAAAACTTTTACACCTGACATAATTCTTTTTCCAGCAGTCTCTCTCACTGATCATTTTGGGATTTATTCAGTTAAATCGCTAGAGTCTAGTGGCATTTCCATCTTTTCTAAGAAATAAAAAGTAAAAAATAATAAATGCAAGCTATGCTGATGTATATATTACACTAATAACTTTTGGGGGGCCATAAAAAGGATTGGAGAACCTGTAGTTAACAGGTCAGCTTGTTTCACAGAGACCACACAAAATATTTAATGAAGGGCCTCAGGTTACCCTGAAAATTGACCACCACAGTACAACATTTTATTATCCCTTAGACGAGGCAGGCCTGTGTTTCCTTAGGTATAACATTGCCCAAAGTGTCTCTGAATCATCTAAGAGCAGGGAGCTGGTAGCTCTGAATGGGTTTGTGCATTCATGATGTAGCGTTAAAATGGACACTGGGAGAGGAAGAGGAAGAACACATTTTCAAGCGCTAGAACTCCACTTTTGCTATTTACCTCTAACTTCCTACATGTTGAATCATTTGGTTTTCTTTTTTCTTTTTTTTTTTTTTTAATGATTCTATTTATTTGAGAGAGAGAGAGCGAGAGGGGGGGCAGAGGGAAGGGAGAAGCAGACTCCCCGCTGAGCGCAGAGCCCAACATGGGGCTCGATCTCATGACCCTGAGATCATGAAATGAGCCGAAGAAAGATGCTTAACCAACCAAGCCAACCAGGCGTCCCTGTCTTTTTCTTTTTTAAGGTTTTATTTTTAAGTAAGCTCTACACCCAACATGGGGCTGGAACCCACACCCCTGAGATCAAGAGTCACATGCTCCACTGGCTGAGCCAGCCATGCACCCCAAATTCTTTGCTTTTCTAACTCTGGCCTATCCAATATCATGAAGATTTCACTTGTTCCCTACCTTACCTGTAACCTCAGTTGATCAGTTTGAACCAGAAAAAAAGTTTTAAGACCACCATACTTTAAGATCCTGCTTCTTGAATCCGGACATCAACGAAATGGTTTTAAATCTTCTAATAATTAGCAAAAGTTCAGGCCTTAAGGGTGAGATCAATTCTTCTTAAGGATATTAGAGCCATAGTATAACCAAAAATGAATTAATAATATATGACCATGTTTTATTCAACTCTCATGGATATTTAATAAAGAGAATAATTTAAATAAGATTTTAACAAGCATAGAAGAAAATGAATATAGCTTTCTACTAATTTCAGAAATAGCCTTAAAAAGAATTAAATTATATACAAGACATATCATACACACACTCACACACCCTTTTAAACAGCTTTTGCAGACAGATATTCAAAAGTACAGAATTAATGGGAAGAGTGGGAAATAGACTGATAGTGATTGGTACCCCTAACCAGAAAATTTCCATTCAAACAGAATTATTTTAATGAAATATCCAAGCAGAATGTTTTATTATTTTCTGTATTCCCTGCACAGAACCTAGCACATGAGAATTTTAACATATGTCATCTCAATGAACACAGAATCTCATTTTTGTGGACATTTCTTTCTCACACAGTGCGTTCAGTGACCATCAATTATCATTTTTATAGAACCACAGATGTAAAAGGGACAGGAATAAAGCTGGAGCCACATTGTGCCTATGACATATCCTGGAAATTGCTTTTTTTGAAGAAACTATAGATAACAACTTGTTTACTTGTCATTTGTCTCTAGCTCCTAAAATTGAAAAGCAGAATGTGAAAATGCAGCCCTTTCTTGGCAAGATAATATGGTTGGCTTTCTAATTAATTACTTCAAATGCTGAAGAAGCCTTCACTAAAGTCATCTTCTTCATGACTTCTTATCAACATACTTTGACTTTTTAACATTCAGAACACTCCCTATTATTTCTGCATCAGTAACAATACATGCCATGTCAACCTTCTCAGCAGACTCAATATTCTCTTCTATCTGCTTTTCATTAAGTTTACTGACTGGGTGTGAAGAGAATGGTTTTTCAACATCGCAAGGAGGTAAAACCTCTCTGCAAAGCCCAGGCCACAAATACATCACGCTATCCTTAAAGGAATGATTCCCTGAGTAAGTCCAAGGACAAATAACAGTTTTTAAGTATTACTTTTCCAAGTCATATGGTTAAAAGCAATTAAAAAGACCAGTCGTTCTCAGAAGGGGTTAGGGGACCAAGGGGATTTTGTTTCTCCCCTCCCCACGTGTGGCGAGGTTTGGAGACGTCATTCATTGTCGCAAGAGGGTGTGTGTGCTACCTTCGTCTAGTGGGATGCTGCTAAACATGCCACCAAGGCCCAGGAAAGTTCTCCCCGGCTAATTTGTACTTCGGCAAAAATGTCAAGAGTACCAAGATCGAGAAACCCTGAAATAGAGGGATTAACCTACTCAGGAAAATTCTTCTGTTTTTGTTTTTAAAGATTTTATTTATTTATTTGACAGAGAGAGACACAGCGAGAGAGGGGACACAAGCAGGGGCAGTGGGAGAGGGAGAAGCAGGCTTCCCGCCGAGCAGGGAGCCCGATGCGAGGCTCGATCCCAGGACCTGGGATCATGACCCGAGCCGAAGGCAGATACCCTATGCCTGAGCCACCCAGGTGCCCCAGGAAAATTTTTCTAAAGCAATTTCATGTTCTAAATTACTTCTCAGTCTGAGGGTTGACTACATAAGGTTAATGCTGGCAGTAAGAAACACAGTAGGATTATTAATTACCACTAATTCTTCCAAGACTACCTAACAAGAAAATACCTCTGTTTCCTCCAGCCCCACAATTTGAACAATCAAGTGTTTACAGTAGAGAAGTAGATAATGGTTTTGAAGTTTACCAGACAGTTGTGCAGGAAAGCTTTTGTTCTATGTAAATTCATGTAAGAATAATAATTCCGTAGTTCTGCTTAAAACAATTGCTATTTGGATTCACTTTTTCATGCGGATTTCGAATCAAGCAAATCCTGCCTAAATAGTCCCATTGCATCAATGCTATAAAATTATTCATGGGAGAGAGTATGTTCATCAATTTTCTGTCCAAAACTCAAATCTTCTTCCTACGTCTGTGCTATCAGGCCCCCCAGCCCACCCCACTGCCACTGGACACATCTTATTTTCTTAACAATGACCAACCACAGAGCACAAAAGCAATCTTTCACAAAGTGTACACGAATCACTCAACTGTGCTTGTTCAAAGAGAACAACTACTTTTTCAAAGAGCATGAGGGTAGAGACACAAGCATTGTCTGATCATTTTACTGAAAGCATTGCAAAGGTGGTCAAATTGAACATACACAAACTATGGTATTTCTTTGCATTGCTCTGTGAAGATAAAAGAAAGTCTAAGCAATTGTCAGGCTTAACAGGGTGATGCTAACATTGTAATCTTGCCTAAAATATTTCTATAATTTAAAAATCACCCCCAAGGGAAACATGTGTACATGATGTGAGCACACAATTCATAAAGACATAAGTACACATGGTTAACAGAGAGAAAAATGTTCTAACTCATTAGTATTCCAGAATATGCAAATTAAAGCAAAGATTCCATCTTGAAATTCATAGACTTAAAGAGTTGAAGATATACTTTTGAAATTGCTAGTGCAAACATGTATTAAGCCCCTGTTGTCTACATGGCACTGTTCACCCAAATGGATTTTTTAAGTTTTAAAAATCATCAAACAGACACATTTTTTTTTCTTTTTATAGTGAACACCAGGACAACAAAGGATTGTGTATTACACGTCTGACCTGGTAGGTAAGCTGCAGCCAGAGTGTTCTGTCAATCTGGTTGAAATATGTTTTCTATAGTGAATAGTTCTTGGAGGTTAATAGTTTGGTACATACTCTATAAAGAAGCCATACTCTCAGAATTCACTATAGCAATTGGGTTTTTTGATATGCAGTGTGAGTAAGGGAAGAGCATCTCACAATTACACCATTTGGCTCCAAAGCCTCAAACAGTCTTCCAACGCTCCATACCAAAAAAAAAAAAAAAAAAAAAAGAAGAAGAAGAAGAAAAGAATCCCCCCCAATCCACTGAAATGAGTATTTCTGTGTTTAAAAAATGAGGTCTTAGCTTGAGAAACGATGAAACACCCATCTCAGTTCCTTGCTTTCTATCACAGATCATGTTATACAGAAAGCCATGTGAGGTCAAATTTCCTTGTTGAGGAAAAGGGGTCGTTTTAGTGCTTTTTGAAATTACCAGCATGAAAACACATGAAACACTTGACTGTTTTTGGTGGAGATATTCTATGCGCCAACCCATGCGCGGGCACATTCACTTCCTGCTCACATCAAATGAAGAATAGCACATTAAGAGGGCTCTGCATGAAAGACGCTGGGAGAATATAGGACTTGCAGAAACAAAGTGCTGCCCAAGACTCTCAGAATAGTCATCAAATTGTTCTTTATATTTTCCTATATTGTTTTTAATTTCCGGGGTGGGGGTGATGAATCAGAGAACACTACAAAGGTACAAATATATGAATAACACCTTTAAGTTTTCTCTAGTTAGTTCCCAGTTAGCTTCACAGCACTTCTTTTTGCTTGCTACCATTACATTACAAAGTGGTTAAACCCATCAGTGTATTTTTTTTTAAGATTTTATTTTTTTAAGTAATCTCTATACCCAACATGGGGTTCGAACTCACGACCCCGAGACCAAGAGTCGCATGCTCTACTGACTGAGTCAGCCAGGCACCCCCCAACAATGTATTTTAATAACATAATTCCACCGTGACAAAAGAGTAGGGGTTTCTAAGTTAGTGTTAAAAGTACTATACAAATATTGTAATTTCTCAGAGTAACAATATAATCCTAACTGAAAGTCAGCACGCAGTGGGTTAGTATGCAAGAACAGCAACAATAACAAAACAAAACGTAAGTAAAAACAGAAATGAAAGCCATGAATGGTGTAACAAGACAACAAATCGGGTTAATCAAGGCATTGACTCATGCTTTCCACCATCTATCCCCCAGAAAAATAAAATACATATTTGTCACACTCACAATTTAAAAAGAAAATCAAGAAAAAGGTTTTCTTCAAAGAAGTACTCCCCCTCCATTTGTTTTTCTGCTCTGAAACAGAGAAGTGTCTGTTAGCCGTGGCATTTGCTAAATGAAACATTTCTTGTGATAAAGTTGCATGGCAGGTGGAGGAGAAATTTAGCCACCTGTTCTCATACTCATTTGAATTTGAGTGCTAAATCTGTCAAGGTATTTCCTTCCACCCTTGAGAAATAAATTAAAAACTTAAGATTGGTGGAAGTTATTCCCCATAGATTTTTCTATAGATTCAAAGTATGCATACTGCACTGAATTCTAAAGATCTTTTTTTTTAATTCTAAAGATCTTAATAACCTTCCTACCTCACCAAAGTTAGAATCTTAACCATCCTCCTTCAACCCTCCCAAACAAAAACTGAATGATAGACATGACAAACACATACACACACAAACAGACGCACGCACACACATTCTCTCTCACTCAACTTCCATTAAAAAAAAACGGGAAATTGTTTTTAAAAAATCAGAAAGAAAACTTCAACTTATGACATAAGGAAATACATATAAAATAAGTCTGGTATTTTCACCTAAAGGAAGAAAAAAAACCTTAAAAACTTCAACTATTTTAAAGATATGTCCCAATGAAAATGGCATTTACAGCATCATTATACAAAGAAATTACAAATATCATAGCAGCTTTTCTTAGTAAGGCCTAAATTAATTGCTGTTTAAGAAACAATGGAGAACAGAGCTCTTACCGAGGTGCTTGCCTGAAAGAAATCAAGAAAGATAAAGCTTTGGTTAGTTATTTACTTGTATTTTTTAATGACACAAGTGTAAGTACTTTATTGTCAACTTGCAATGAATTCACTAATGGAAATCTTTAGCATGTAGGATATAAAATGGAGGCTAATCTTTCCAAGGCTTTCTTTTGTGCTGTGGCAATACCAGAATCCACAAAAGAGAAAAATTCTCAGTTCAAGGTGATAGGGTCAGACTGCAAAATGATTTTCTGAAGTAAAAAAGCTTCTCGACATGCATATGTCGGTCACATTTAAAATAAAATCACATTAATAAATAGCTGATGTCAGTTTTAACATAGGAATAAGATCGTTTACCCAGCACCTGCTATGTACTAGGCATTGTGCCAGACACATTCTCTGGGCTACTTAATCCTCATAGCAATCCCATTTTAAAGACAGGAAACTGAAGCTCAGAGAGTTTACGGCTTCACTGTGAGTCTGGCAACTATGGTTTGAACTTGAGTCTGATCCCAGATCCCACAATGTTCCCATTACACCAAGCCTGGAAAAAAAAAATGAAAAATACGCCCTAGGCAATTGTCATTTCAACGCTTAGTTGATAAATACGAGGAAGATCTCAGAAAGACACATTCTGTTAAAGGAAAGTAATTTTTTGGTTGGATTAATTCAGTCTAAAATTACCCACTTTTCCCACTTGCATAAAAACAATACCAAGGCTAAAAATCTCTCATGCCATTCTCCCAACACACAGAGGGTAAGGAGGCAGCCTATCTTAGGATATAACTGAGATCAAATTTAGGGAGAACTTTACATTACCGCTATCAACATTTAAGGGAACACATTCTGAATTCCAAAGCCACCCATCGCTATCACAGAAATAGCACTACAACACAGATGAGGGAACTGGGCTAAACAAATGGAATGACAAATGATACTCCATTAGATAACTATGACAGGATGAAAGTTAATTATCCAATGCATAAAGCATTTGCACTGAGTATCTCAATCCTGTCCCTGCAAAACTTTAAAATTAATGTTTGTTCCCTCTACCATATTTCAATACTTTAGTCTTTCTTCATCTTGTAAAAATTCACATACCAATTAAACTATATCAAGTCTCATGTATCTAGACCAGAAAATTCTTCTGCTTAGAAGCTTGGTTCATATACTATTTCTCATTCTTCACATTTTTTTTAAGATTTTATTTATTTATTTGAGAGAAAGAGAGACAGTGAGTGAGCAAGCATGAGTGGGGGGGGGAGGGGCAGAAGGAGAGGGAGAAGCAGACGCCCCGCTGAGCAAGGAGCCCGAGGTGAGGCTCGATCCCAGGACTCTGGGATCATGACCTGAGCCAAAGGCAGATGCTCAACCGACTAAGCCACCCAGGTGCCCCTCATTCTTCACATTTCTTATTAATATTGTAATAAAAGATATAGATACATACACACATACCTGAAGTAGAGTGAAAAGAGTAAGCAAAAGAATGAATTCCTAAATGCTGATTCCATACCTACTATATATAAAATAACTAAGTCAAAGCTCCCTTGCCCTAAGAAGCCATACAGGGTAAGAGAGTCCACAAGAAATAGTAGTAGTATAGGGAGATGGCAATATGTAGATGTGAGTTGGGGAAAACAGCATGTACTCCCATCACTCTCAATAACCCCATTCTCAGGACACAGAGAAAATAATAGTTATAATCCTCTGGCCACACATAAGCCCTATGGAAGGATGATCCACCCTACAGCCAGCACCAGGCCTACCATTGAGAAATCTAGCTGTACCTAAGGCAGGGAGCATGACTTCTTCTTCAATTCCCAAATGAAGAAACTGGAATGGGAGCTCCAATACCCTGGCCAACGTTCTTTGAAGGAGCTTTTTGCTTTTGCTCCCAGAAGATTTGTTAACCAAGGTGTCATTTTACTTCTATTATCTGTAGCGCACTAACTTTGAAATTTGATTCTTGAGCTATGGTGCATTTCAATGGAAGAGTGTGTTATTAAAGAATTGGGCTTATGCCTGCCTAAAATGTCAGTTTATTAAATATTCAAACAGCCAAGTTATCCAATTTTTTGAGTTTATTATAAAGACAGATTCCACAAACGCAAAACCAATTAGAAATCACTTCTGTTTGGGAACAGAAGAATCATTATTCAAGTGGTAAAAATCCTATCCTTTTCTGAATTTCCTAGTTACATTCAACTTCATAAAGTCAATAATTCATGACCAGATCTTAAGGGAATGTTTATTTCTCTTTTAAAAGGAAACATGACCAAAAAAACCAAAGAGTAAGACTTTTAAACTTACAAAGTAATAACCAATTGCATTTGGTTTTAAGAATTATAATTGGCAGCTCTGAGTCCCATTGCCTCTATGTCTTCAAAGCCTGTAATAAATGTAACAAATCTCAACCTTGATTCTGCAAGTACCTAGAGGCATCCCTAATTATTTCAATGAACGTGGTAAAAATTTCAGTATTGAATCAATCATGTTTTAATATAGCATGTTTAATGTGATGTAATCAAATCAGTGTTTTAATTTGGCAACCAGTATTTTTCATACAGGGCAAGGTAATACAAAAAAAGTATCAGAGGACAGACCCTCAATACCAATGAATCTGGGAATCATACTTATGATAGTTCTTTCAAGCTTATCTCAGATATCGAGCCAATGGAAACAAAGAATCAAAGTTATATAATATTTCATATTAAAATTATTTTCCATTTTGTACACATCTGTGTCATCATTAAGATTTTTTCTTAGTGGGGGGCAGAGGGAGAGGGAGTGAGAGAATCTTAAGCAGGTTCCATGCCCAGCACGCAAACCCAGTGCAGGACTGAATCTCACAATCCCAAGATCATGACCTGAGCCAAAATCAAGAGTCGGACACCCGACTGACTGAGCCACCCAGGTGCCCCAAGGTGGGTTTTTTTTTTTTTCATAAAACTTTGTTAGAAGACTTTAAGTTATCCCTCTTATAACAATGCTTACATAACCATTGTCTACCTTAATTTCTCAAGTTGTTAGGAGATGCAAAAAAATCTTTACTGTCCTTTATAGCCCACCCACCTATCTACACATTCAAGTATCATAGTCTGAGTTAAAATGAAGTTGTTGTTTTTTTTTTAAGGTTTTATTTGATTTATTTGACAGAGAGAGCGACAGCGAGAGAGGGAACACAAGCAGGGGGAGTGGGAGAGGGAGAAGCAGGCTCCACGCCAAGCAGAGAGCCCGATGCGGGGCTTGATCCCAGGACCCTGGGATCATGACCCGAGCCAAAGGCAGACGCTTAACTGACTGAAGCCACCCAGGCGCCCATATTAAATATTCTTAATAAAATTAGTAATGACTTCCTAGAGGGCACAGACTGTTCTGTTTTGTTTTGTTTTTCCTTTTTGGAGGGAGTAGATGCAAAATAAAATTCATTGGGAAGTTTGCCACTTTGGGGACAAGGTGTTTCTTTTTAGGAAAATTATGACTTCTGGCTTAAATAGAGGGTGTCTTCTTGCGTGGAATTCCAAAAGGGTAGAGGCAGACCATATCATTTAAACAGTTTGACACAGTAGGAGTCAAGCATTCACATTTCCCAGTCATTTAAGTGGGAATTGTATTTTATTATTTTTAAAAGATTTATTTATTTGAGAGAGCGCCCACGCAAGTGGGGGGAGGGGCAGAAGGAGAGGGAGAGAGTTCTAAAGAGATTCCCCCCTGAGCTCAGAGCCCGCCATGGGGCTTGATCCCAGGACCCTGAGATCATGACCTGAGCTGAGATCAAGAGTCAGACACTTGAGTGACTGAGCCACCCAGGTGGCTCTTTCCTAAGAGGGATATCAAACAAGAGAGAAGCTTCCTTTCCTTCCTTCCTTCTTACAGTCTTTTATTTTTTTTATTTAAAAAATTTTTTTAAGATTTTATTTATTTATTTCACAGAGAGAGACACAGCAAGAGAGGGAACACAAGCAGGGGGAGTGGGAGAGGGAGAAGCAGGCTTCCCGCAGAGCAGGGAGCGCAATGCGGGGCTCGATCCCAGGACCCCGGGATCATGACCTGAGCCGAGGGCGGACGCTTAACCGACTGAGCCACCCAGGTGCCCCCCTACAGTCTTTTAAACCAGTGTTTCATGCCCCAATTTATAATTTTTGACTCTCAGAGTACAGATGAGAAGGAGACAGGGGAGAGTCACCAAGTAGGTAAGGAGAGCAAAGAGTCGAGGTGTTAAAATTCTGCCCAGCTAGTTGGAAAATGCTGCTCTAAATGCTACTTCCCTCACTCACCCCATTTACACCAGCTACTTCTTGAAGCAGTAAGG